CCCATTTTTGCCCATCTCTCAACTGGACTCTGCATTCTTCCACTTCACTGGACTAATTCTTGGTTTACAAGTGGTAGAAAAGTAGCAGCAATAGCACCAGGCTAGATGTTTCAAGGCTCAAGTACCTTGGAAAAGAACAACAGTCTCATTGTGCATTGCTCTGACTGGATCACACAGACAATGACTGAACCAATCTGTGTAACCAAGGAGAAAGGAGCATGTGGATCTCTTTAGACCAATCAACACTCACCTCTGCTGCTAGGGGTGGATTTGACACCTTTTAAAAGTGTGTAAGGATGTGAGAGTTGGACCATAAAGAAGGCTGAGCGCCAAAGAGCTGATGCTCTGTAGTGCCGGAAAAGACACTTGAGGGTCCCTTTGACCGCAAGGAGATCAAACCAGTTAATCCTAAAGGCAATCAATCCTGAATATTCATTGGAAGGACTGGTGCTGAAGCTGAAGCTTCAATAATTTGGCCACCTGGTGCAAAGAACTGACTCACTGGAAGAGACCCTGATGCTGGTAAAGACTGAAGGCAGGAGGAGAAGAGGATGACAAAGGATGAGATGGTTGGATGGCATCACCAACTCAGTGGAAATGAGTTTGAGCAAACTCTGGAAGATAGTGAAGGACAGGGAGGCCTGGCATGCTGCTGCAGTCCATGAGGTAGCAAAGAGTAGGACACAACTTAGTGACTGAACAACAAAAATACATGACCTGAGAATGGTGGTTTCCCAAAGGGAATTTGGGATATTATTTTGCCATGAAAACTAAGTGAAGAGACTTCCCTGTCACCCAGTGGTTAAGACTCCAAGCTCCCAAAGTAGGGGGCCTAGTTTCAATCCCTAGTCAGGGGGCTAGATTTCACATGCTGCAACTAAGACCTAGCACAGTCAAATAAATAAAAAAATATAAATTTTTAAAAAATAAATGGATACTGGGTAAACAACAAATCTCTGTTGTGGAAACTCATTTCACACACAATGAAGCATTCAACTGGTGTTGTCCATGCATCAAGATATAAAGAAACTGCCTGCAATGTGGGAGACCTGGATTCGATCCCTGGGTCAGGAAGATCCCCTGGGGAAGGGAATGGCTACCCACTCCAGTATTCTTGCCTGGAGAATTCCATGGACAGAGGAGCTTGTAGGGCTACAGTCCATAGGGTTGCACAGAGTCAGACATCGCTGAGAGACTAACACTTTTACATTTTTCAAGATATTTCTAAGGCCACGAGGCTAAAAATAAAACCAACTCCACCGGCATATGATAGTTAAATGATACAACACACTTGAAAATATATAACATAACATCTCTAAACAGCAATAAAGATACTATTTTGTGAGCATGCTTATTACCTGGTCTGCCAGATTAGGCCACTAGAAAGTTGTCATCATCATTATTGTTACTGGTATTCAGTGGTGCTCAGTAAGAGAAGTGGTGAAACCCTAAACCAAGTGATTTTCAGCTTTCCCTGTATTCTACTCTGACTTCATCCTTCAAGGTCTATTACATCTGCTGAGGCTTTCCTGTATCCTACTCTGCTACATCTCTTTTATGGAGACTTTATACTAAATATGGGAGAATTATGGGCCCCTCTGTCTTCAGTGGCCCAAAGTTCTCTTTTTGTCTACAAAATTTTCATCACATGACTTTCTAGGTAATTTGCTGTCTTCTAGCACAGAGTCTATGGGACAGTACTAGCTGTGGCAGTCATCTGGAATGGCTATGCATTCTTTCTTTGTCTTCACCCGGAAGGAACTCTGCAGGAGACTTTATAGGGCCCAGGTTTGGGCAGGAAGTGAGTCGTTTTCAGCAGTTTCCTGTGCACCCCAGGAATTCCCTAATATTTCCTCAGCAGCCTCATCCCATCTCTCCACTGCTTCTCCTTTTCATGTCCACCTTTTGTGAAATCAACAGCTATTTGTCAATGGTGAATGATAATTACTATTATCTACCCCAAGCACTTCTTGCATATTGTTCATTTTTCTCTCCAACCCGGATTGTTTACAATTTAAGATTTCCACATCACAAGCAAAGAAAGAGTTCAAAGACATTCAAGTTTTGCCAAACATCTTATGAAGAGTGAGCCATGAAACTGATTTGAAGCCACAGTTGCCTGATTCCAAAGTCTCTGCTTTCTCCACTCTGACATGCTGCTATTAAAAAGCTATTTCTTCAACAGACTCACAAATCAGAGAACAAAGTAGAGAGGCAGGAAGGGTAATGTAGGAGTGGGAGAGTAAGAGGAACAAACTGCTAGGTGTAAGAGAGGCTACACGGATGCATTGTACAAAATGGGGACTATAGCCAGTAATGGAGTACAACCTTTAAAAATTGTATTAAATTTTTTTTTAATGTTTGGGGCTTCCCTAGAGGTTCAGTTGGTAAAAATCTGCCTGCAATGCAGGAGCCCCGGGTTCAGTCCCTGGGTCGGGAAGATCTCCTGGAGAAGAAAATGGCAACCCACTCCAGTACTCTTGCCTGGAGAATTCCATGGACAGAGGAATTGGGCAGACTACAATCCATGGGAATCACAGAGTTGGACGTGACTGTGTGACTAACTTTCACTTTCAAAGCTATTTTTTAAAAATACCAATTGAGTGGAAAACAATTTAGTTTTACACCTAATAAATTATTTCAAATAGAATTATAGTTAGTTGTGATTTTCATAGGCTTGCTGTCTCAATACCAATCAGAATTTACCATGGAGTGAGTAAGTATGCTCCAAAGATGCCCTTGATCAAGCAAAGTAGGGCAGAGACTAGGCGGTCTTATGACTGGGAGCATGCTTCAGTTTGGGCTGAGCTCCAGGACACCATGAAAGGTCGATGATGAAAGCATGTGAAGTAAAACTGTAGACAAAGCAGTATGGTTGGCTTCCACATCAGACCCAGGAAAAGAAGTTCTCAAACATTAGCTTGTGTGCATCCCAATCATGCGGACATTTATGACACAGTAGATTTGTTAGGGGAAGCACACTGACTGAAACCGCCCACCCTGGCAAGTCACCATAGTAACCATTTGCATGAGTTGTTTTACGACAGGAGGTCCTGGCAAGGAACACAGAACTAATAAGCCACCACCAACCGGAAGGGTTCTGGAAAGGTCAAAAGGAGAGACTACATGTCCGACCCCCTCCCAGAATCCTTCTCACTGGCATCCATCTTGGTTGAACAAGGCGTGCACCACTAGGAAGGACTCTGAGTCAGAATGATTGGCTAAAGACAACCAGGAAACTAATTCCATCACCATAAAACCTGAGACTTCGAGCCAAGTAGTGAAGCAGTTCTCCTGGGTTCCCTTACCCTCCTGCTCTCCACCGGGGTGCCCTTCCCAATAAAATCTCTTGCTTTGTCAGCATATGTGTGTCTTCGGACAATTCATCTCCGAGTGTTAGACATGAGCCAGTTTCAGGCCCTAGAAGTGTCCCCTTCCTGCAGCAGATTCTTGGGCTCCACAGCTGGGTGATTCTATGGATGTAGATGACAGCCCACTGACCATATTTGGAAAACCACAGTCCAAGATCTCAAAGCCCCAGTTAGGATGCAAATAGAAAGAACTGGGAGTTGGCTGAATGTGAAATTGATTCTCCTCTTGTACACACCATTCATTCAAATCATTTATTGAAAAGGATCTTTCTGTATGAAAATCTTCTGACTTGCAGTGTTTCTAGAAGGAGTTTTGAGAAGCAAACACACACATTCTTAGAAAAGACTGAATTTAATCTTTTCAATTGAATTCAATTTACAATTTTGTAAATAAATTCACTGAGGAAATGGTTGAAATTCACAAGAAGCCTACTGTGGATGATCTTAACACAAAGAAGAACCTTCTGTAAAGCAAAAATTGCCTCCAATTTGTCTACTCTGAACCCTTGATATTCATTTAGATTGAATGTTCTCAAACCAGAACACACCTGAAATCTGGTTTGTCTAAATGCTTAGAAAGTCCTAATGGTCTAATTATTAAGCTCTATCCTTATTTCCCAANAAAAAAAAAACTTAGGAATTCAGATTTTTCTTTCCTATTTGGGGGACAGCTGACTGGGGTTGGGGGGAGAATTGGTGAGGTGACTGAACAAAACCAGTTGAACAGTTAATGCTTTAACCTTGCGTATAATTTATACAATAAACAAAGTCACATGCTCCCCTAATAATTTAGATGTAAGCAAATGTTGATTTATTCAGGAAGGCTACTGCCTGCAGCCAAGCCTGCAGCACTAAAATTTGAATTAAACTAGGACAGAAGCAGGCTAGTCTATAATAACATTTGTATAATTTTATTTTTGCCCTTGGCTCAGTTCATTTCCTCGTACAGTAGATGCATGAAATTGGTTCTTCAGCCACCTTTAGCTGATGTTCACTGATATCCGGGCAGGCAGGGAGGCAGGAGAATGCACCTTTCTTAGCTTTGTGTTTTCAATCATAAGGCCTTGAATTCCTAGGTCATTTTTGACAATGATTATCTTTCTCTGAATTGTGTTTTCGGCAAAGATCTCTGAAGAGCCTCATTTCACCTAGAGATACGGTTTCCCCCTCCTCTCCCAGTGAGGGGGCTCTTAGAACTGAGATTGTTAAATAGATGCAAATGTTGTGCTGTTTTTATTCCTTTATTCAAGCCTGGGGGCATGAAATCTGAGTTCTCTTACTCTGCTTTCAGCAGTGAAATAAGGGCCGTAGGAAATTCTTTAAACGACGGTAAAAAAAATAAATATTAACTTGAAACAGTGAAGGACCAAACCCCCTCATACTATTAACCTTTGACTTAAATAAAAATTAGGAACTACATCTTACCACTTAGCAGTTTTGTGAGGGACCGAGGCTCCTCTGGAGGAATCAGGTTTAAGCCAGTAAATAATTTGCGAGAGCTTCTGAAAAGCAGGCGAAGTTTTCCATCCAAACCAGGAGAAAACTTGTTTTTCTCATAGTATTTCCCTGCAGACCAACACCTCACCAACACGCACAGTGCGCAAAAGAAAGCACTCGCAAAACCCACAATCGCTTCACATGTCTAACCATTTTTATTCAAGCTTTCAGGCAAAAGTAAGAGCTCTTTGGGGGTCAAAAGTTCTGAAATAAAGAATTTCTTCCCTTAGGTCAGGAAATCAAATATGCTAAAAACTCTCCCTAACCTTTTGTTTAGAGGGAGCTCAGAGGGGGGGAAAAAAATCCCCCAAATTAGAAATGAAAGAATTGGTATTTGCACTTTATGTGAAATCTGCATTTATCTCTCACTTCTTCCAGCTGAGAAGGTAAATAGCAGCCGCGGTGTTTGGGAGGCAAATATTGTTGTGTCCTATTCTTGGTAACGAAATCTGCTCCCAGGCCTGCTCCATCCCCGTCTGATTGTGCCCTGGGGCTGTCGCAGGCAGCCAAAGGAGCCTTTCAGAAAATCCAGGCCATGTTTTGACTTCATTACAAATTCCAAATAGAACAAGTTTTCGCCTGGCTTAGGCTTTGGTTATGAAAGTTTCCCACAGCTCTCGAAAATATACAGAATAATAAATGGCCGGGCAGAGAGAGAGAGAGAGAGAGAGAGAGGAGGCAGTAATTCCATCAAAGGTTTTTGATCACATCCTAGAGCACAATCACAGAGCCCAGAGAGCTTATGTCACTAGGACCCAGAGATAAAATGTTTTGCCTTGGGCCCAAGGTCACACGTTGGGTCAAGAACTCTGAGGTTCTGTCCTTTGTTCCCCTGTGAAGGGGAGAAAGCCTTGTCTCTACCCGACCCTGGCCCCCTAGCCTTCCCTGGAGACACACCGTGAAACGTTCTCACCCCCAAGGGGTGGCTGGGAAGCTTCAGATGTTTTTTGGACATTTCCAGCATAAAAGCAAAAATTGATGCGTTTCAGTGGGATAAGCCATGAGGCACAAAGGAAAAACCCTCACGGCGGTGGGTGTGAAGAGGAAACTTTTTATTGTCTTGCTGCGGATTTTTTTCTTTCATTTTTCTTCTTTTCCTTTTGCTAGTCTCTTTATTAAGTCAAGATGTTATAGGAAGGCACCAGTTAAATATGACATGCAAGCTTCTGAAGGCAAGCCCTTACTCCCTAGTTACAAATGAGAATCCAGGTTGGCCATGTTCCTGATCTCCATCCTTCTTCATCCCTTCTCCCTTGTTCCAGGTTCTTTCTTCTCTCATCCTTTTTTTCTGGAAAAAAAACATAATGAAACACTTTAATGACAAATTCTAGAAGGCCATACCCTATCCTCCAAGAACCCCAACTACTGATCTCATCATCTTCACAGACATGCCCTTTCTTCCTGCACATCTCTATTTTAGAAAACATGAACAAGGGAGGGACCGGGATGGGGAATACATGTAAATCCATGGCTAATTCATTTCAGTGTATGACAAAAACCACTGCAATGATGTAAAGTAATTAGCCTCCAACTAATAAAAATAAATGGAAAAAAAAATAATAAAAAAATAAAAATAAAAAATATCTGATGAACTGGCAAAAAAAAAAAGAAAACATGAACAAAATACTTCAAATAAGGGGACTTCCTTTGTGGTCCACTGGTTGAGACTCCATGCTTCCAATGTAGGGGGTGCAGGTCTGATCCCTGGTCAGAGAACTATGATCCCACATGCTGTGCGACCAAAAACACACATTTTTCAAGTGCAAAATACTTCAAATAAGTCCAACAATGGGGCAATTACATTCGGTTTTTTTTTTTTCCCCCCAAAAGAGCCCGTTCATATATATGTCCCTCCCTAGAAGAAGAGTTCATTAGCTCCTTTTTAAAAAATAATTTTGCTTTTTTTGGCTGTGCTGGGTCTGTTATCGCTGAGAGGGCTTTTCCCGAGTTGTGGAGAGCGGGGGCTACTCCCTAGTTGTGTTGTGTGAGCTTCTCATTGAACGGCTTCTCTCGTTGCAGAGCACGGCCTCCGGGGCATGCAGGCTTCGGTAGTTGCAGCTCTGGGCTCTAGAGCACAGGCACAATAGTTGTGAAGTTTCTCTGAAGCTTGTGAGATTCTCCCAGACCAGGGATCTGGACCCGTCTCCCGCATTGGCTGGCAGATTCTTTACCAGTGAGCCACCAGGAAACCCTCATTACTAGCTCCTGATTTTTGAAAAGCCAGTAACAACAGCCTGACCATTCCTCACCCATCATGCTGATATCATTGGATTGGTGGGCTGTGGCTTCTTGACATCAAAGCCACGGATTATGGCTTTCCCACATGTGGTTCACAATCTAGTCATTGCCATCATCCATACACCATCCACTGTCCTCTTGAAACCCCTGAAATGATGAAAGAGTCAGGCAGTGGTTGGTGATTAAAAGCTGTGATTAAATTGCCCCCAAACTCATTTTTGAAGAGTCTTTGAACATGAAAAAAATTTTATCAATGAGTTTTAACTGGGAAGAGCAAGCACTGTTGTGCCTCTGTTTCCCACATTTAGTCAAACTTATAAACTCATTCTTCTGATGGCTTCCACTGGTAGCTGGACCCAACAGAAGCATTCGATAGAATCCATACGAAAATGCTAATTCTGTTTTTCTGATTATATCCCACCTGGTAGAGAATATATATCTTAAATATGAAAAAAGGCATTAGTAAGTATTTGCGATTTGACCAGACTGGAATTATAGTATGAAGAGAAACTGTTACTGGGAAATCTACCATTGACAGGGACAGCGGGCCAACAAGAGTGCCTTGGTGTGTGAAAGTGAAAGAGTTAGTTGCTTAGTTGTGTCCTACTTTTTGAGACACCATGGACTATACCCCATCAGGCTTCTCTGTCCATGGAACTCTCCAGGCAAGAATACTGGAGTGGGTAGCCATTCCCTTCTCCAAGGGATCTTCCTGACCCAAGGATTGAAACTGTGTCTCCTGTATTGCAGATTCTTTACTGTCTGAGCTACCAGGAAAGCTCCAAGAATACTGGAATGGGTAGCCATTTCCTTCTCCAGGAGATCTGCCTGACCCAGGGGTTGAACCCAGGTCCCCTACATTGCAGGCAGATTCTTTACATCTGAGCCACCAGGGAAGCCACCAGGAAGGCTTGTGAGTCTTTATTAAGATCAAGGAAGAAACACAGCCAAGAACAAGGTGAAAAGAAGTTCATTCATTGTCTCAAGGAAATAAAGACCTCAGACATTTCAAGGGAAAATATACCACTAGCATCAGATACTAATCACAAGGTAATTATTTTTTAAAGAGTTTCCTAAGTAAGACACAGACACCCATGACACCCTTAGGCTAATATATGCACCTAGAGACTAATTCTGCCCTTGGTTGTATATGCGTTAGTTGTCCTTGGAGTGAATAAAAGCTGCTTTCCATGTTACTCTAGCCACCTATTTTTTTTTTTTTAATGCCACTTCAGAAGATAGGGATAAAAATGCATCAGATTAAAAAACACTCCTGAAGGGCAATTTGTACGAAAAGCTAAGCTGGGCAACATCAAACTAGGCCCCTTCCTGTAAAATACATCAAATTCAAAGAAGTACTTTTCTTTAAGTTACTAATCTTTCTAATGAATATCAGGCTCCATCAGCCAAACTGCTTTTTTGGCAATAACAGTTTTTACCGATGTAAAACACTGCAAGATGTACTAACAGAAAGTACCCCAAATATTAATCAATTCTAAAATACTTTCCTATCCTTCGTCCAAGGAAAAATGTTTTGTTCAAGGAATTTCAAACTTTGTTCAAGGAATTCTGACACTGGAAAGGATGGTCCCCGTCAATCATGGTAATTTGGTATTGCAGGTCTTATTCCTGGGCAAGTCAGTGGGCACTCTGAGAGAACCCCCTCCCTGAACATTCTCTATAACAGCCCTGGAATGAATATAACACCAGCTCATCTCCCCAACACCTCTGCATCAACCCACCTCCAATTGCTTAAAATATCAGATGCCATGCCTGATGCTGTAGGAATTCTTTTCAAGTATAAAGAAAATTCCTAAGAATTCCCTGGTAGTGGGTGGTTAGGACTCAGTGCTTTCACTGTAGTGACCCAGGTTCAGTCCCTAGTCTGAGAACTAAGATCCTGCAAGCCATGTGGTGTGGGGGAAAAAAAAGGAAAAAAGAAAATTCCTGACCTCATTAGACTACATTTCAGATGTCATAAACAGCCATATCTTACACCCAGCTCACGAGCCATCCAATGTTTTATAACTCTTTTTGGAATTATATTGTAGTCATAATTCTGCTTTCATACATGCATTCATTCATTATTTATTGAAAACCTGCAATGTACCAGTCACTGCTTCTAGGAGCTGGGGTAAAGTGGTAAAGGAGACAGTTAACAACATCCCACTCTCAATGAGTTGATTTTCTACCAGGCAGAGGCATCAACAAACCAGTCAACAAATGAAGACAATCATTTCAAACAACAATAAAAATAAAGTAAGATGATGACACAGAGTGGGCTCACAAGGATGGGAAGGTTTCCTGGGGGAGGGGAAAACACTGAGCTGAAATCTGAATCCCGAGAAAGACTCAGCTGTTGTGAATCTAAAAAGATAAGATGAATTCTGTCTCTTAGAACATTTACTCACATTATTCTATAGATTGTGTACCCTCACAACTGGAACACCTACATTATTCCAAGCAGAAATCGTAAAACCCAGGCATAAAGGCATACCTTTTACTTACCAGCAGGACAACTCCAGGCATTATTTCTCAGTTGAGGGCATATTTAATTACCAAATGTTCTGCTGATGTCTTCCAAGTTGTATAGATTGCTGACTTTCAAGAACATAGACTTCTTCCTTTATCACAGAAATACCACTGTCCTAGATGAATTTGCATCTGCAATGATTCATCATTTTGTACTTTACAATTATTTAAGTTCTTCTGAATGACCAGGTACATGCAAAGCACCCTTGCTTTTATTTCATTAGATAACTAACCTCAGAGCTCCACGAGCAATTTTAAGCTTGAGAAAAAAAAAAAAAAATTCAGCTATGCTGCTATTTCACTGTTCAGGCAACACACTCACCATGCCAGTCAGATTGAGAAATGATTGCCTTTGCTAGTGGCTTACAAGAAAAGACTTCAGGTCACATATTAATTTTTAAAATGTTTTTCTTAAGCCCCTTTTAGCCTTCATGGCACATTCAGAGGCTAGGTATAAAGGAATTCTTAGAATATGGTTTTGTTCAGTGGCATGCAAGCTTACCCCCACACCGTGTCACATCTGGACACCTCCATTCCGGTTGCTTAGGTGTCTGATGGTTTGTCAGAAGGCTAGCCATAACTTAGGCGGAAAACTGGACTCCATTAAAAAAACATTAAAAGCTGAGAAGGAGGCAAGTTGATGTGGCATGGCTCCCAGCAATAAGGAAGCCAGAGTGCACACTGAAGCTCAGAAATAGAAAGTGATGTCCTCATAAAAACATGGCTCCAGGCTGGTGTGCCACTAGAAATTCTTCTGTCAGTTTAGAATATTTAGCTCGAAGGGATTTCGACTTTCAAATGTATCTCTGGATGCAAAATAGGCTGCACAGGAGGAGATAGCATTGAAGAAGGGAAAGACGAACTGCTCCCAATTATGATCAGTTTACGTGAAGCCGAAGATACCTTTTTTTTCAGATAGCATATTTGATCAGAAAGTGTGCAAGTGGGATGTACGAGCTATCTCGCTGACTCCGAGTGATCCGCTGGCCTTCATAACTAGAAAATCGTGCTAAGAACTGATAGGCCAAAACAATATTAAAAGCTTCAGCACTACTGGTTATCAGGGGAAACTTTCAGCCTAATTGGAAAGCTCACAGCTTCAGGCATCTGAAAAGTTTTGGTTTGGGGCTCTTCCGCGGCATTCCAATGCAGTATTTCCAATCAATAATGGGATGCTATTCAGAGCTCCATCATGAGGGTTATGAAGTCCCCTGAGTTTTGTATTTGACTTGTTAAACTGTAAAAAGAGCTGGAGAAACAAACAGAAAAGAAATATCTCAGTCCCCAGCTACCTAAATACAAAACAATCGAATAAACAAACTCCGGTGCTCAAAGAAAACGGGAAATGGCAAAATGGAAAAGACAGACCGATGCATTTTCGTGCACAAAGAGCGAACATCTTGGATGACCTTCCTGAGTGCGATCTGTCCTGCTGGGTGTTAGGCAAAGAGCTCATCTCTCCAGGCAGATAGAATTATGTGTTAAGATTACGGTAATGCAGGTTGTCCCCGAAAACCCACAGACACAAGACTTTTCCTTCCCAACAGATGTGGCCTTCTCAGCCCCACTTAGCTATAAGCATTAGGTTACGAACGCCAATGAAAGCATATACCCAAAAGACTCAGAACAGTGCTTTCCTCAGAGTGACTGTCATCTGTACCTGGAAAACGTCACAATTTTCTTCGCCAACCACCTTGCACAGTATGGAGCAACAGAATCTTCATCCCATGTTTACGGAGTGATGGGCTCCAGAGAACTTCCGCTGACATCACCAGGGAGTGTTGAGAGGGAACAGGTCCAAAACAAGTTCTGTACTGGGTTTTGATTTTTCTTTTCCCCCAAAGGTTCACCCAGTTGCCTTCATCAGAGGTTTGAAAGGGAACACAGGAGATCTGAGCTATTGAGTGGGAGGTGAGGAGCTGAAAATACCGATTAATATAAATACCGATAAATACCAATAAATTAATAGAAATACCGATTTAAATACCGATTCAACCCAGCACTTGCCACTGCCCTTTGGTGTGAAACGTCAACTTCTGGAACCAGAGGACAAAAGCCTCCTTTGTGTCCAGGGTACGAGAGAGACAGACCTCTGCAGGAACCTAAAGAGACATTTTGGGACTTCCCTGTAGGCTCAGTGGTGGAGACTCCACCTGCCAAGGCAGCAGATACGTGTTCGATCCCTGGTCCGGGAAGATCCCATATACCTCAGAGCAACAAAGCCTGTGTGCCACAACTACCGCACCTGTGCTCTAGAGCCTGGGAAGTGGAACTACTGAAGCCAGGGCACCCTAGAGCCTGTGCTCAGCAACAAGAGAAGACACTGCAATGAGAAGCCCGCTCACCACAGCGAAGAGTAGCCGCCATTCGCCGCAACTAGAGAAGGCCGGTGACGCAACAAAGACCCAGCACAGCCAAAATTAAATAAATAAAATCACTTTTTAAAGAGACACATCTTTACCCACATTTTAATATTTCTGAAATCAAAATGCATCTTGCCATCACCGTTAGCCACCAGTAGTTGGCCACAGTTATCACTGCCTTTAGACTGGCATAAAACATGTGAAGTGACTCAGAAGGGAATCCTAGAGACAGTAGAAGAGGAACCTTTTAGGAAATGCTCCATCACCAATGCTTTTGATAGCACAGAGCACAAGCCTGCACAGCAAAACATGAAGATGACAGACTCCAAGTCGGAAACTGATTCATAAGAATCGCATTCTGAAAATGAAGTTTTGTGAATTCCTTAGTCAGTGTATTTCATTTTTAGTTTTCCTTTTACATATGCACAAGAGACACACAGGGGCAAAATCAATGCCAAAATAAGTACAAGAACCTTTCCAGGGACTTCCCTGGCAGTCCAGTGGTTAAGACTTCACCTTCCAATGCAGGGGATGCAGGTTCAATCCCTGGTTGGGGAGTTAAGATCCCTCATGCCTTGGGGTCAAAAAAAACCAAAACATAAAATAGAAGCAGTATTGTAACAAATTCACTAAAGACTTTAAAAATGGTCCACATCAAAGAAAACGTAAAAGAAAAGAAAACAAAACAAAAAAACCCCTTTCCAATAAAAATTCTAAGACATAAAAAAAAAAAATCATGGTGCTACAGTTGTAGGAATAATTTTTGTTTTCTTGGTGGAACATAAAACCATAGTTGGTGTTACAAGCTATGACACCTGAACGTCACTGAAACACAACAGTTTCCTTAACAGCCTGGAACTTCACATCTCTCTTCTGAAAAAGGTCCTAAGAGAGATGGAGGCTGACCCCAGTAGTTGGTCCCAAGATGAACTCACAGAGGTCTATGTGACACACGGTCTATCCCCTGTCGATGGTGATACTACTCTCTAGCCATTTATCTGCTTCAGCCACAATACAAATACCACAAACAAAGTCAGTTGCTCAGTCCAGCATGCTTTCCTTTTTTCGTTTAGCTTGTCAACTCTGTACCATGTGGACAAAACCCCACAGACATCAATAAAGCCTTGATGACAAGAGTATCTTTTGGTGATCATCTGTGAAGCAAATGAAATGATTACCTGATTCAGTGTCTTAATGATAGAATGATTATAACATGAAATCCAATTGTTTTAAATGCCTCTCCAGAAAAAATAGAAAAACATACACTAATCTCAAGGTGGGTTGTGTGTGTGTTCAGGTGTTCAGTTATTTGGTCACCTTTCACTCTTTGTGATCCCATGGATTCGCCAGTCTCCTCTGTCCATGGGATTTTCCCGGCAAGAATACTGGAGTGGGTTGCCTTTTCTTTCTTCAGGGGATCTTTCCCGACCCAGGCATTGAACCCTGGTCTCTTGCTTTGGCAGGCGGATTCTTTACCACTGTGCTACCTGGGAAGCCCAAGGTGGGTAGAGGAAATTGCTCTAAACTTTTTTCACTAAAATAATTTTTTAAACTTTGACTATCAGATTATAAGCCAACTAAAACACTTAAATATCTTTAAGTTGAATAGCTGAGCAACAGTTATTTTTCTGATTCTAAATGTCTCTCTCAAAAAAAAAGTAACAAGCAGATCAGCAATCTTCAATCGAAACTAAAATTTCTAAAATGAACTGTTATTTTTACTTGATTCTTTTTTCCTTCTTGAAAATCCATTTTTAAATAGCCACTTCTTTGTCAGTGAATAAACAGAGAACCTACTGGCTTCCCCACTATTTCCTTTCTTTCCTTATTCATATTTTCCTGCCCAGATCCTCAAAATGATACTGTGGCTATCTGCTTTCTGCTTGGTTGAGGCTACCATTAGTGGAGTCAGAATATAGAGGCAAAAAAAAAAAAAAAACTAGCCAATTTAAGCCTTAACAAATGTGCAACTTGCACTTTAAAATGGTTAAGTGGCTATTGAGAGAGAAAAAAACATCAAAATAGAGCATGTCAAGATAACTCAGCAACAGTTAATGCAGTCTAAGATGCATGGCGTGTATAATACTTTAAAAAGGGGATTCTCAGGTGGCTGAATGGTAAAGATTCAGTCAGTTCAATTGCTCAGTTGTGTCCGACTCTTTGTGACCCCATGGACTGCAGCATGCCAGGTTTCCCGGTCCATCACTACCTTCCGGAGCTTGCTCAAACTCATGTCCGTCGGGTCATTGGTGCCATCCAACCATCTCATCCTCTGTTGTCCCCTTCTCCTCCTGCCTCCGCCAGCGGTAAAGAATCTGCCTGCAAATATTGAAGGTGCAAGAGACCTGGGTTCGATCCCTGGCTGGGGAAGATCCCCTGAAGGAAGAAATGGTTACCCACTTCAGTATTCTTGCCTGGAAAACCTGACAGACAGACAAGCTCAGTGGGCTACAGGCCATGAGATGGCAAAGAGTAAAACACGACTTAGCGACTGAGCATGCACACGCACATACTGTTTATTAGCATTCAGATAGAAGGTGTTGACACTTATTGAGCCTTTATTATACCCAGCTTCTAAGTGTTGTGTGTATAGACACTTATTTAATCCTTACCTATCCTTCTAAGTAGATACTATAATGATCATCCCGACAGACGAGGAAACTGAGGCAAGGAGAAGTTAAGTGGCTTGCCCAAGGTCAGACATTAAATAGAGCTGAGATTCAAACCCTAGCTGGTCGACCTCAACATGCAACCACTGTGCTACATATTTTATGATCCTAAGTTGTATATTTTTTTCCACATGATGGTCTTACAATCAGCGATTGTCATAGTTTAATTGACTACATTCTATTTTTGTGTGGAGGACATAAAATATGTCTTAAAATTGATGTCAGCTTGGATTTTATGAAACACGGTGTGTTGCTTCATTACAAGAGTGGAGAAGCTCTGGTTTCTACTGAAAGGTCTCATACAAAAGGCCCTTCACAATCCAGAAGACTGATGCCAACAATAGGGACCAGAGTATGAAACTTTGCAAGGACTGGAAACTTTCTTGTGTTGTCAGGAGGAAGGCTGCAGTAGGAAGCTAACTCTCCTGTATGCTGGATGGCAAAGGCAGCCTTGAGGGGTTGGGACTAGATCAAGGCAGCCCTGGAGGGCTGTTTGCCTTCCTTCTCACCTAGAAGGTGTGGATGTGTGAGATTCCTGAAATGCATTCTCACTGATAAAGCTGAAAGACTGGCCAAAGTTCACAAAACAAAGGCTCAGAAGCAAATTAAAAGTCAGAATCCAGGTATGTCCCTCAGAGGAAGTGTGTTAGTTGCTCATTTGTGTGGGACTGTTTGTGACCCCATGACTGTAGTCCGCCAGGCTCCTCTGTCCATGGAATTTTCCAGGCAAGAATACTGGAGCCAGTTGCCATGCCCTTCTCCATGGGATCTTTCCCACCCTCCTCTCCTGCATCGGCAGGCAGATTCTTTACCATCTGGGCCACCAGGGAAGCTGGGGGTTTGACAATTAAAATTGTTGAAGACGATGCTAGTTCAGTTCTCTCTGGGGCACTGATCACAATACAAGATGATAAGAAATGCTAACTCAGCACAGCGACTCTTCTCTGCACAGGGCCAGAGGCTATCTAATAGGCCGGGCTGCGGGCAGCCGCATCCCCACCAGAGACAAGTTTGATGCTGTCATTGAGGGTGACTCCCAAGAGAAAGTCTCAAACGGTGAACTTGAGGGAAAAGGGCAAAATCCAGGAATAAGAAGAAAATGGTGAATAGCAAGCTGAAGGGCAAAGAGAAGCTCAACATTCAGAATCGGCTGGAGGCGAATTAAGACGCCGAGTAGCGAGGCTCAAGGTCTCCGCGCCTCTGAGCACAAAACCGGAGTCTGCAAGAAAGACGGAGAGGGGAGCCTGCCAGACGGAAAAGTGTGTGGATTTATGAACGCAGCCTGGCCAAGCCGCGCGCTTCATCAGAAACTAATGAAACAGAAGAATCCCACCCCACACCCCTCCCCAACCCCTCCTGCCCTCCTCCGTTACCATCCCTAATCAAAAGAACTGACGAATAAAATCAGAGATCGTGAAGATTTGAAGGGGAAATACAGAAGACAGACGGGGAGGGCCTGGCAAGGGGAGAAAGAGGATCGCACGTTTGAAGACAGAATCCTACAGGTAAGACTGGGGGCGAGAGTTTCCAATTACAGACAAGGGCGAAAATGGCAGGGAAGATATGAAATATCGTATTTGTGTTTGTTCTGTACGGAAAATGAGGCTCTTCCTACCTCAAGGACAATTTTCAGAGAAAGTGAGAGGGGCTGTGAGCAAGGATGGGGGTTCTCGCCACGTGGTGGTGCGACCCCCACCAGGCGGATCCGCTCGCGGTCACAGCGCCCCCCGGAGGCCGGACGCCGCACTGCACCACGAGGAGGCCCGGCCCTGACGCCCGCGGGTCCCTCACAGACTAACACACGCACCCAGCACCCACACACAGCGCGCATACACACACACACACACACAC